AAAAAAAATCTCATCAAATATTCTCAGATTCTCATTAACATTCTTCCTCCTTACATATGGAATGGGATTATAAACCATCATACTATCTCATTCAATAACTACGGCTCAAATTATATCATATACATAAGAAAAAATTCACATGGCTAACTAAGTTAAAAAAAGCTGAATATATCAACAGTATCAAGCCGATTAATTTTAATTGTGTCATTGGTAAAAAAGAATCCTCTCAGTCTAACAGATACACATTATCAACAATAACGGAGAATAGAGATGTCAACATTATTAATAATTTGATTACACCAAAAGAATTTGCTGGAAAAGAAGTCAATCCGTTGAATCGCACTAACAAAAAATGGTTCATTAATCTAACGGACACACAAATCCCACTCAATGTTACCAATTTGTTACAAATGGGCAGCAAATTTAGTCTTCCATTAAACATAGACAAAAGAACCGCTATTCATGAGTTCATTAAAGATTTATAATGCAATACCAAGAGGAATAAAGTCATGAATCTTACTACGATTCGCAACATAGCAATTTCTCAACTTTCGAATTTTTTAAACAATGGGTCTAAAAGACACAAATTAAAATAGATTCTATGATAAAGACGAGTAAATTTATTAAACAGAATCTTGACATTCTATTCACAAGAGCGGATAAGGGAAATGCTACTGTAGCAATGGAGAGAAATTATTATGTTAATAAAGTGGAGAATTTGCTGAGCGACACGGACACGTACAAAATAATAAATAGTAATTCAGCACTTAAAATAGAAATAATAATTAAACACGTTTTTAAAAAAATGGCATACTAAGGGATATATATATCACGAAAACGGAGTACTATTTTTTACATTTCAGTGATTGCCTCCTCCCTAAGGCGTATGGCCTGCCTAAAATTCATAAAAAAGACTTTCCTTTTAGAATTATAGTTTCGTCTATAAACACGGCCTTACCTCATTTAGCTTTATTCTTCCATAAAATATTAATAAAAAGTATTCCGAAAGCCAATAGCTTTGTAAATAATAGTTTTGAATTGTGCAGTGCGCTGTCTGGTAAAATTCTAAATAGCGGAAACATAATAGTTTCATTGGACGTGGTTTCTTTATTTATTAATGTCCCTGTGGACCTTGCAATGGAATGCGTTAATAATAGATGGCATTATATTGAATTACAGACGGAAATTCCAAAAGAGGAATTTTTAAAAGCTATCAAATTTATACTAACTTCCACATATTTCAATTTTAACAATAAGACATATGAACAAATTTACGGATCTCCTTTTTCTTCAATTATTGCGGATTTAGTGTTACAAGATCTAGATACATCAATTATTAACGCATCACAGTGGAATTTGACTTTTTATTTTAGATATGTTGACGATATATTGTTAGCGACAAACTCGGATAATGTACCAGATAAAAAATGAAGATCTTAACAATTTAAATGTAGTTTATAAAATAAATTGCAATGACTGTGTGACGCAATGTATATAGGACAAACAAAAAGACAATTAAGAACTAGAATTAAAGAACATAGAAATAACATCAAATTAGATTCAGATAAACACTCAGTAGTCTCTGAACATATTTTAAAAAATAGTCACACATTTAACTGGGACAGGACCGAAATTTTAGATCAAGAACCTAATTATAATAAGAGACTTATATTGGAAATGTTACATATAAAAGAACATAAAAATTGTATTAATCTGAATAAGGAAACAGAATTATTGGAAAGTAGTTATTTTGATATTCTCGAAGAATTATCATAAACATTTTTAAAGAAATTAACCTTGAATTTTAGACAATAGAGTTGACTATATAAACAGACAAATTTATAATAAAGACACACATTAAACTATTGTTTTGTTGAGACCTAACAAGCGACACTGAAATTGAATATGTAAGTAATTTAATAATTTATTATTTCTATTATTCGAGAATAAATAAATAAAAAATAAAAAATCTTTCCTTTTTCAATATAAGAGGTGATCAAATTAAAGGAAAAAAGGTTGGAAAATGGACCCATCTCGCAAAAATGCCAGACTAGTATGTTCGCGCTGACCAGCGACGAATTTTGTAATTTGAACATTTTGGACGAGTATAGCTAGTGAAGTACACATGGATATTACAAAATATTGATTTTTGCAAATTTGGCAGCACTGTGAACAAAAAAACGATTTTTCGAGACTAAAAACTCGACCTGTATTTGTTTATAAAAATCGTAATTGTTTATCAATTCTAAAAATCGTGTGTACTTCACTAGCTATACTTGTATAGATTATGAAAACATTTTTTTCATTGTTCCAGATACATTCGTTGGGGACTTCTGCTGCTAGCCGCGAAACGCCTCACAAAGATTCGATTTTCTTTCCGCGCGCTGCTGAGCCGCCATTTTGTAATAAAACTGAAAATAAAAAATATATTTCTGCACCCCAGGACAAGTATATTCAGGCCTGAAAATTTCACATTAATCGATTCAGTAGCAACGTCACAAAAAATTCACAAAAACAGCCTATGATTTTTGCCTTCGGACTAGATGTTACCCCTTAAGGTCCGTATTCATAGCGTTAGCCTTACATTTATAGAAATAAGTCTTAAATCGTAAGCAATAAACCAAAATCATAATATTTGATTTCTGTAGATGCGACTTCAATGTGATAATTTTTCGTTTTTAAGACTAATAATAAACCAACAAACGATAAAATTAAACCAACAATCATCAACAAACGATTATGCATTGATTAGACCGTTTTTTTTATTAAAAATAAAATTTTTCTGACTAACTTAATGCTAATTTTTTTTTAATTAAAAAAAATATATTGTAGGCATTCTTATATATTTTATTTTATCGCGAAGTACATTTAGCCGTATATAAGGGAAAGAAAAACGAGAGAGACGTTGATTTGTTTTATTTATATTTTCGTCTACTTGTCCTTCGACCGGTTTAATTTAATTATGTGTTGTTACATTTTTATTTATTTTTGCGACCGTCAACCGAATTTCTCTCGTTCGCCAAAGTTATTGTTTTTCGTAAAGACTAAACGATTTAATCTTTTAAAATGAAAACTGCTCCGATTGGTTCTATACTTTGGGGTGGGAATACTTTTTGGACAACGCGTATAAAATATGGGGATCTTCGAGCGGACCGGAGAGAGAGAAAAACGCAGGGAAAGAATTATTCTGGCGGCGTTAACGACAGCGAAATCTCCGGCGTCTGTAACGACTTTACGATATATAGAAGATCGCAATAAGATACATTTTAACTGGAACATAATACATATATATATATATATATATATAAGTAATAATATTTAATTTATTGCATAAAAGTTTGCATTTTAAAAATATTTTTTATTCGAATTAATTAAGTTCTAGATAACAATTTTATATCATTTTGTATAATTTCTTATTATTTTATTATATAAATATTATTCGAATTTAAAATGATTAAGAAAATGGTAAACACTTTAAAGAATTTTCATGCTACCAAATTAATTTTTTGATAAATATGTTATTTAAAAAACAACATTATTCTTTCCCTTTAACTAATTTTCTGTAATGCAATTTTCACGTTTACATATACAATTATTTGCGTGATATATTCCGCATAGATATATGTATACCATTTTGCAAATGTTTTAGTATTATTTGTTATTTGCAGTTATTGCAAAGATAGTTGGTAACGTATTGTGTTTATTTAATATCACTAGAAGTTTGAGACATTTGAGAAAGTTATCGTTGGTCAATGTTCACGAACGCGCTGCGTGAGAGAGGATCGCGCGACACAACAGGATAAGTCACTTTTGTATAAAAAGAATTTAATTTTCAAACACACTTAATGACAAAGTACACTTTAACAAACTTATTACAAACGTTAATTATTTTACAGAAAAAAAACGTAATCGAAATCAGAGTACGGAATAAGCGGCGGTCGTCAACGAATTTTGCGGTTTAACTAGTATGCGGTTTTGCGTTATGCGGTTCACGGCGGAATGCGATAAGGCTGACAAGTCGGGTGTGAGCTCCTCCTTTATAATTTTCAGGACGGAGCCCACTTTCGCGTGAAGCGCCAATAATTTCGAGTATTTCGAATATTGCGCGAGGTGACCTGAGCGCATTACTCGTAATTGGCCGCTGTTATAATTGACGCAACGAAGGCTCGAAGAAAGCATGCGCGAGCGAGCGATCGCGGTAATTATTGATGAATCGAGGCGCCCGTGAGAAGCCGCGCATGCTCGTTGTAATATAATTATTCGGCAGAACGGTTACGATACCGTTAATTGTTTATATTTTTGATAGGTTTTTTGATGACAGATTGATTTATGACGCGGTTGTTTTTTTTTTGAAAAACATAGAAAAACGATGGAACTATTTGTTGTGAATTTCAATATCGATCGGTCTAGAATATTCTATTCGCGTATAATATTTTATTATGCGTATAATATTCTATTATGCGTTTTGAACATTCCCGCCCGCCTTGTCGCGAAGTGACAACAGGTTTGTTCGCGTCGCATGCCTCAACATGCTCCTTCTTACTCCAATGCGCTCGTATTGGTGCACTCCTCGAATTGGACCAATACGAGCGCATTAAAGTAAAAAGGAGCAAGTTGGGGCATGCAACGCGAACAAACCTAGTATGTTGGTCAGGAACGGCCTGTGGGATGGGCGACTTGGGCAACCGCCCGGGGCGCCAGGGCATGGGGGGCGCTGAGATCTGTGTCCACAGATGGATTTTTGCACGTATTCCGTGCAAATCGTAATTCCGGGTAATGCAAAGAGCAAACGCGACTGAGAAAGCTACAAAAGAAGAAATAAGGGGCGACATTTGGGTCTCATGCTCGGGGCGCCATAATTCCTCGGCCCGGCCCTGATGTTGGTAAATTTTGGCCGCGGAATCGCAAGTCGATAGCGATCGATGGTGGGGTAGACGCGCGCCGGCGCGGCGAGATACACGTGATCGCGTGAAACGATCAGCTGAGTCGATCTGAGACGATGAAAACACGTGGTGATGTGAAATGGCGAGTGTGTAGTGCAGTGCGCGGCGATAATGAGATAATTGTGAGTGCGGTGGTGGATGAGACGAATAAGGTGCGACAAATATTACGGTGGATGATGTGATGATTGTGTAGTGAGTGAGTGTCGAGAAATGTTTTACGTGCCGGCGGACGGCGTGTCCGCGTTATTCACGCCCGGAATGCGATCCGCGCCCAGAAGCATAACGAGCTTGACGAGCGGACGCACGAGTTCGAAAGTGGCGGTGCGGATTAAGGAGGCCCGTTGGCTGTCGCACGTAGTACACCCTACTTGCCGAATTTGCCCGGCTGTTAAACGTGAGTCGACAGATTCGACAGTTTGTCGCGACCGCGAGTGTAGGTGTGACGAAGAGTTAGAGTAGAGTAGAGTTAGATAGAGTAGAGTCCTTTCCTCGATAGGAAGGACGTGAATTTTGTAATTAAATGTAAATGTCACAGGATTTACATATTTTATATTTATAAAAAAAGTAGAGTCCTCTCCTCGATAGAAAGGACTTGAATTTTGTAATTAAATGTAAATGTCACAGGATTTACATATTTTATATTTATAAAAAATTTATACTCATTAAAAATTTGTCATATATGTTTGTTTAGGATTGAGAAAAATTCGCCGCGCTCGATCAAACGAAAATTCACGGATCAGTCGAGAATTTAGGTAAAGGCAATTGCCGCGGGCCTAACACGGCAGCACCTCGCGGCACGCACCGCGGGAAACGCCGCGGAAGCAAATTTTCGGCCAATTGGCGCGTTCTGCGTGTACCCCTCGCGATCACGCGGTCGATAGCGTAATCGATGAGGGCAGCATTCCGTCGGAGAGAGTCGTCGTGGAGAGAGAGCCGGCTTTGGTCGCAAGTCAGACTAAATAATTCGCGTTACGGTGTAATAAGTGCGTGAATGTACTATCGCGACAAATACGAACAGATTTGCGCGGTATTTTGTGACATATCGAGAGTGAAAAGTTAACGGGTAATCGGATTTCGTTCGCGACGCAACATACACGTTCTCGCGACGAATTCGCCATTGTCTCGTGCACGCGACGTGCACGTGATCGAACAATACGAGGATTCGGATCCTGCTGGAGGATTTATGGCGATATTCGCGTACAGGTGAATGCATGTCGTGCATTCTCTCTCTCTCTCTCTCTCTCTCTCTCGCGCTCTCTCTCACGATTGTCGTAGCACGCAGTCGCGACGAATTCGCCGTGGTATTGTGCACGCTGCGTACACGTGATCGACTCCTGCGAATGTTCGAATCCTTCTGGAGGATTCTGTGTGATAGTCACTTGCAGATGAATGCATGTCGTGCATTCTCTCTCTCTCCCTTTCTCCCTCTCTCAGGAGTGTCGTCACAGTGGTTTCGATTTCCAAAATCTTTCACGCGGTGTGCACGTGCAAGCGGCTAGCGACTCAAAGATTTGGCCAGGATCGCTTGCATTATTGTCGTCGAGCGATTGTAATCCTGCGTTAATCTTGTGAGTTAATTTTCGTTGTGAGAAGTGATCGTGAACAAGATAATTTAAGATAATTATTGAATCGCGTTAAAGCATATGTGCGCGTTTCGATAAATTATAACGGTCGTCTACAAGAGGACAAATTTGTTATTGTACGATTCGCGATCGTGACTTTCAAATAGGACATTGTTTTTTTTTTGCGATAAAAGACATTGGTGTCGATATCGAACAAACAGTTTTCTTTTTTTTGTGAGCGCGAGCTTCGAAACGAATAATTGTTTTGTACGACGCTTGATACACAATCAGGCGCTCGATAAGTGATCAATTGTCAAATGTAAATTTGCTGCGCGTACAGCAAACGCTTTCGATTCTCATATCGAGTTTTTTTTTTGGTTTGTTTGTGTCAAGTCCCGGTGATTTTCAGACGTGTGATATAATAAATTGATCTGTTTTGTTCATCAAACTCAAGAATCCTTTTCAATTTGGCCTCCTGCGTAAATCATCAATTTCAGCGCACACATGGGTGCGCGATCACCCTATTAAGATACAGTCCACTCAATAATTATCCTATTGTCCACCCATCACATCTCTCATGAGATTCCTATGATTTCTTTCCAATAAAAAAAAAAGGTGAAGGATCTGAGAGGCGGCGCGCGAGACGCGGCCCTAAAAAGGCCGAGCATGCTCGTTCGTCGCAGCTTCGTGTCGGACCACGGTTCATGCCGCGCGTACGCAACAATGTTGTTAAAATAAAATATTATAATTATTGTTACAGGTACTTTTGTGGAATGTCTGAGATCATCCAATTACAAAGCAGATAAATTGTTGAAATTACTTTTCGATGAATTCGAGTCATATGGAGACGAAGTAATATACGGTAAGAAAAAGACATTATTGGTAATAATATTACAGTAGAGTTCGAAAGATATAGATCCGAAAGTCGCTGAATCGGGAACTTAGGGGGGAACAGGGGATGTATGGAATTAAATCTCTTGTAGAGATTATTCCAATTTTAAATCTTGGCCGTGACCAAGTAAAATTGAGTGCCTTGTGCACAGATATTTAATTCTAACGAAAAAATTTAGTTTCGTTGGGATAACGCACTGTCATCCGCGATTTGGCTCTTATTGCCTGTCTTACACTTTAAATGTATATTTATATTACAGAGCCTTGTTAAACTCTTAATTTATGTATTTAAATTTAAAAAATTTAATATATTTAATATATAAGAGTTTTAACAAGGCTCTGTAATATAAATATAAATTTAACGTATAAGACGGGCAACAAGAGCCAAATCGCGGATGACAATGCGTTATCCTAACGAAACTAAATAATTTTTCGTTAGAATTAAAATACCGGTGCACAAGGCACCAAATTTTACTTGGACACGGCCAAGATTTTAAATATGAAATAATCTCATATTTTGAGATTTAATTTCAATACCCCTTTAACCCCCCTACGGAAAATAAATAAATGAATGCAAGAGAAAAATATAGATCCAAAAATCGCTGAATCGGGAATCGAACCCGAGACCTTTCGCTTCCAGCTGCTGGAAGAGCAGTCGCCCGGCAAGCGAAAGGTCTCGGGTTCGATTCCCGATTCAGCGATTTTCGGATCTATATTTTTCTCTTGCATTCATTTATTTATTTTCCGTAGGGGGGTTAAAGGGGTATTGAAATTAAATCTCAAAATATGAGATTATTTCATATTTAAAATCTTGGCCGTGTCCAAGTAAAAATTTGGTGCCTTGTGCACCGGTATTTTAATTCTAACGAAAAATTATTTAGTTTCGTTAGGATAACGCATTGTCATCCGCGATTTGGCTCTTGTTGCCCGTCTTATACGTTAAATTTATATTTAATATATATATAAATATATATATATATAATATATATATTTAATTAAAATAATATAAATATTACCAATAATAATATCAGAAAATATTGTGTTCTTTATCCCTTCAGTTTGACGTTGACCATCCCAAGTTAATTCTTTGGCAAGTTTATTTGTGAAAGTTATTACTAAACTGTTGCTTAAATGTTTTTCTGCATTTTGCCCACCAATAGTTCGAATTTTTTTTTGTTGTAAGAATATAAAATACATTATTCTTAATTTATTTTATTATTATTATTAATTATTATTATTATTATTAAATATTATTTATTATTAATTTATTTTATAAAATAATTTATAACTTACAAATTGTTTTCAGAGTTCATCATTATTTTGTAATTCGTTACAAAAACACTTAAAATTGTCTATATCATCCAATGGAAAATCTGGCAATAAATCAAATGACATATTTGGCGCTGTCAGGTTTTGGTCATTGTTTAATATGGCTAAAATATTATCTAATTTCCGATCCAAAGTACATATTTTCAACATTAAGCAATCTATTGTAGAAGTTTTTTTTATTAAAAAATTAGAATTATTAATTATTAGATTAGAAAGATAAATTCACAAAATTTGTTACTATATATACATATATACCTTTGCTTGAAGTTATATTTTCTTTAACAGTTTCAATTTTTTGCCGGTTTTTAACTTTTTGCAGTTCTAATTCAGAATCATTTCTCACTATTTCAAGAAAAGAAAAGTAATTGTTTTATATAAATAATAAAAATATCAGATCATTTAGAAAACATGGAAATGACATACAAACGAGATTTCTTTTCATTTTACGTTTAGGAGAGTTTTTTTCACTTTTTTTCTTTATTTTTAAATGGTACTCAGGATTATAATTAACTAAAAAAATATGTTAAAGACATAACAAAAATCTAAAATTAAAATTAAGATATTATTTTTTACTTTTAATAGTTTACATACTATGTTTTATTATAGGAAACACTTTTTTTCTTTCTACTCTTGATGATTTTGGAGATATTTCCGTTTGTTTGTCTGTAATATATAAAAAAATATCAATTTTAATTAATATATTTTCAAATATTAAATTTTAGTTTTAAATATAAATTATATTCATATTATTAATAGCAATTAATTATATTAACCTCGCAAAATTTCTTTATTTTCTGAGAAATAATCACCGTAATCCAATGATTGCGAATCTAAATTAGTATTTGATAAGGATAAAGAATTGTTGTTTTCATTTACATCTGAAAAATATATATATAATACATAAAAAACTTTTATCATAAAGATAGTATTATAAAAAGTGTGTATATAAAAAATTTTTTAAATACGATTTTTTCTTTTAATTATTGTTGTATTTAAAATTATTATATTATTTTAAATTGATTTTTTTATTTTTATTTAAATCTGACCAGTAGTGTTGTGATTATTTCATTATATTTTCTTTACTAATTTTACAACTGACAAAAGAAGTTTTAAATATTTTTTGCAATTTTTGTATTGAAAGTGCAAATAATAAAATTAGTTAAAAAAAATTTTTTTTAATAAAATATAATAATGCTTTTTACATTGTTTAAAAATATAGAATAATAAAGAATGTAAAAAATGTAATCTTATAGTCATTAAAAACTTTTCATTTTTAATAAAAGATATAGAATACTTTTATGAGATCTTTTTCTGTAAGTATAATACATATAATTTAAAGGCCAATTAATTTACAATATTTAAAAAATTATAATAATTTTTATATTAAATATGAATATGTTTTAAAAATTTACCAGATTTCGATTCTGTATTTTTATCAAAACTTTTCCCATGGGTTTTATAACTCGTATAAGGATGTGAAATGCTTCTTTTAGATATTTTTTCTGTAAATATGAACATTAAATTATAGATATGAATAAAATTAAAAATTTGAAACAATTTACACACACAAAAGATAAAATAAAATTTACATTAAATTCCATAAAAAAATTAATATTATAAAAAGAATGTACCAGTTTCTAATCCTATAATTTCATAAACATTTTCTTTACTTGAAGGAGATGAATTGCTTTTTCTAAATTCTTTTGCTGCAAATAAGTTAGTTATAGTTCAGAAATGTTATAATTTATAATTTTAATATAATTGTATAAAAAGTTACCAAGTTTTGATTTTACATCCTCATTAGAAGTTTCTTCATTAATTTTATAATCAGAATAAGACAATCATTAGATACATAAGTTTAAAGTTGTCAATAAAAAAAATATATATATATATTGTATATATAATATAATTATGCATTAAAAAAATAAAAATCATTATGTTTTGATTGTAATTCTTCATCAGAAGTATAAATTTTTTCTTTTCTTTGTCTTTTTGAAGAAATTCTTTTAAAATCATTATCTTTTTTATTGTGAAGAATATTAATTTGTGCATCATCAGATGATAAAAATTGTGCTTCTTTCTCCATGTGTCTAGCAGTTTCATATGAGTCGAAAAAAACAGCAAGTATAAAATAAAAAAAAATATATAAATAAAAATTAAAATTATATATATTGTTGCGCCCCCGTGTTACGCCCCTGGATCTACATCTTTGTATCGAGTGATACTTTTCGCGGGATCAACTCTTTACGCCTCCGGGAGATCGTCGTCAAGGGAGTTGTTGTTAAACAACTAAGGGTCTTCTTCTGTTTTCGGGAGACATGACAGATTTGGTCTAGCGGTCGCATCGTGCGGACGTTTTCCGAGACCGGAGCTTCTTTGCATTACGAATGCACTATTTGTTATATTTCATTGGTTTCGTGTATTGGATCCTCATATTAAAGTTCATTTCCTTATTACGCGAGTGTCTTTATTTCGCGCGCGAGTGAGAGTGACTGTGTGTGAGTGACTGAGCGAGAGGCGTCCCGAGGACGCAACATTTTGGGGGCTCCTCCGGGATAAAACCGAAAGAATCGCATCTTTCTGAGTGAACGCCAAAATGACGACTCAACATTCGCCGAAAGCGACGCGTTCCCGAACAACGATGAAGGAGATAGATGAGACGGATGCGTTGCAGACCGCACTGCGAGAATTACGAGAAATGCGGGCCGAACGAGAACATCAGCAAGCTCGCTTTGAGGCTCTTCTCCGAGAGAAGGACGAACAGCTGCACCAGCTCGAATTGAGGATCTCCTCGCAGTAAACTAACCAGCTAAGTCCTTCTAATATAAGAGCTTCCGGGGATACGCGACTAAATTTAACTTGCGCGAGTACCGCGAGTGCCGCGATAGCCACGAGTGCCGTGATAGACGCGGGCGAGACGACCGGTGACTTTCGTGCGAAAACGGGCTTAAAACTGAAGCCTGATACATTTGATGGAAGGGTTCCGCCGCGGGAGTTCCTCTCCCAATTTCTTTTGATAGCCGTTGCGAATAATTGGGATGAGAAAGCAAAAATGATTACTCTCGCTGCAAATTTAAGGGGAAAAGCTCGGTCCGTTTTAGAAAATGTTGAGAATTTTGAAGAATTAACTTTCGCAGAATTAAAATCAAAATTAGAATTGCTTTTTGAAGACGGAAACTTGACGCAAAACTATTACTATCTTTTTACGACACGGAAACAAAAATATGGAGAGGATTTCGCTTCCTTTGGAGCCAAACTTGAGAGACTGTCGCGTCTGGCTTACCCCGAATGTCCATAAACGGTCCACGATAAAATAGCATGCGCGCAATTTGTCTCGGCATTAATAGGCGGGTTTGTCAAAAGAACCCTTCAACTGGAAGGAATTACATCTTTAAATTTAGCTATAGAAAGAGCTAAGGCCATAAAAATAATTCAGGGGGATAGTTTTAAAAGAAAAAGAGACAATTTTAGTAATAAAGGAAATTACGGGAAAATAAGTCAAAATTATCAAAAGGGAGAGAGGAGCGACGCGCGAACCGATTCCGAAAAAAAGAAAAGCGAACGGTTTAACTCGAAAGGGAAAGCGCAAGCAAACAACTTTTCGGCCAAAGAGAAAGAATGTTGGTCTTGCGGGAAGATCGGGCATTTGCGTTTTCAATGTCCTGAGGCGAAGGAAAACTAGAGGTAGTTGAATTTTTCGGGGAAAATTCAACTCTTACA